CCCCAAAACCCCAAAACCCCAAAACCCCAAAACCCCGTATAATGTTAGCCAAATTGATTAAAAGAATCAAATATATTATAGTCTCCTAATGTCCCTTGGTCTCCTAGCTCGGAGTGGTCTCCTAACTCTGCGTGGTCTTCTAATTTCATCATGGTCTTCGAGTCCATCATGTATCTTCACTCCTCCAAGTTGGTTGTCTTCGAAAATTTCTTTAGCTTCCGTTAGTTTTATGCGGCATCCTTTGATCAAAACTATCTCAAGACTTGACCTTAAATCTGATGAGCCTGCTAATCCTTGTGTAAGGTTTTTGAACCCATCTAAACTGTTTTCTCAGTTATTAATATTAGAAAATATTGAGTGTTCTAAAGACAGGGCATCAATCTTGCAATTCGTTAATGCTTTTGATAAATCTGGTACATTCGGAATTGGCAACCTGCAAGAAGATAATCCTAGTATATTTAGATGTTTATAAGCTGCCATCAATCGCTTCAGTTGGCAGATGTTCAGTGTGAATCTGTTAAGAAATAATTTTCTCATTACTTTATAGCTACTTCTGATTAAAAGTTTGAAGTAAGCAGAACGATCCGGCTTTGTGTTAAATAAGGGGGAGGTATAAAGTACATCAACTGTATCTGGAAATGAGAGAGCTCAAAATTCTAAAATTTTCTTATTCTTCGTGCTAATATCATATAATCTGATTGTATATGTATCGAATAATTTGCAAAATTTTAGTTTTCGTGTAAATTTCTTATTTTTATCATGAAGAAAATCTAGACGCAATTCAGAAGCTCTTATCATATTTTGATTGTTTGAACCCAATGGCTTAGCATCCATTTTTTCTGCAGGAATATTAGCATTAACATCGAGACATCTTTTATAGTCTTGCTCTTTACTCATGGTCAGGATAGACTTCTCTCAGCTAGATAAATTAATTTGAGCGAAAAATTTGGATTTATATCAGAATCCATTAGGAAAAGTTGGAGCTGAACCAAAGGAAAGTATTCATTCGATTGAAAAAGGATGCTAAATTAGATTTTTTAAGAGTTCTAATCGACGGAAAACCAATAATAAGATTTCAACTGAGAAATTTTAGTTCCTTTCAGGGTGTAAAATAATTTAACTGCAGCGTATTCACCAAACCATTAAGTGTAAAAGTCCTTGCATTCCAGCCATAATATGAAGGGTTTTGGTCTAATCGAACAGAAAATAAGGCAAATTTTATAATGACGGGTAACTTTGACTAGTATAAGAATTCTTCTTGATATGTCTTAATAAATGAGCTTATAAACAAAATAGAATTATGAGATAAGGAAGGTTCTAACTCTTCTTAATGCCCCATATCATTAAATCCGAAGTTTCCATGTTAATAGATACTCTTATTAAGCTCCCAATTACCTGATAATCTTGTAGGTCCTTTCTTTAGCAATTTGAGCTGCACTTTCCATTTATTATTATAAAATTTTATTTTTCAATTTATCTGAAGAAGTTTGGGGTTTTGGGGTTTTGGGGTTTTGGGG